CCCACACCCACACACCCACATCCACACCCCACACCCACACCCACACCCCACACCCACACACCCACACCCACACACCCACACCCACACCCAGCCACACACACCCACACCCACACCCACCCTAGTACAAAAGATCTCGTGCTTAAGTAGATTATTAATTTGAGTATTATATATATATGATCAACATAGACTTTTGACTTAAAGCATGAGACTATTGACAGTTTATGTCTTTTCAGCAGTGGCAAAATACTTTTCAGTTAAGCTGCGTCTTCTTATGTTGAACACTTTTTTTGGCTAAATCATTTGAGGATACTATCAAAATTGTGATAATAAATGCAACATTGAATGATGTAGTAAACAAATATAATTGCTTTCAAATTTCTTGAAAAGTAAAGAAAGGATGAAAAAAATTAAATTTATCTAACGACAGACTGTTTCTGTTTTGCATAATAATTGTAGAATCTTCATATTTCCATGAACTATACGTTACTAGGGAGAAAATAATAAAGAAAAAAGACTCTACTATTTTTAATTTACTTTCCTATTGTTACTAAAAATTAAATTTTAATTTCAAAATGAAATATATTTATGCTTGAGTTTTTTTCACTTTTAATTTACATAATTACATACATGATTTAGCAATATTTAGTGTCAAAATCCAACTGCAATATATACGCTGTTTCCCAATCAAGGACAACATTGCATTCTCACCAATTGAAAACTGGAAAATTATGCCAGTTGTAACTAAATAAACACAAAGACTACGATGAGTAATTAATTTTTTCGAATGAAAAAAGAAACTTCAACTAGTAGATAGTACTATGTAGTTTAAAAGAAGATTTGTTATTCATGAATGATGAAGAATGAGTTACAATAAAACTAAATAATAATCAGCTTTTTCATAAATGAAAAATAATTGTCTATGTCAATTATTTTCGATAGATAATGAAGAGTATTATTGTAAATAAAATATTTGACAAGAAGTTTTTTTTTTTCGAGAACTTGAATTTAGACGAAACTTAAGTTCTCACGTGAGCTAAGTCTATTGAGCATAAATGGAATCAGTTAGCATTGATCTACATATAGTCATATTGTCATGGTGTTTCCTAATTAATGTTAACTGATCTATACATGAAATGAAAACATTTTCTGACAAGTGTGAAATATATGACAAATAGTTTTATATATTTGCTTTCTTTATTCAAAGCAGATCGGTATATATGTTAGATGAAAATTTTGATTAGACAAATATTTTAAACAAATAAAATGATAACTGATGCGGTCTTTGTCCGAGTTTTATATCTAACTCCCTCTCACTTCTGTTACCCTAATTTTATCATATAACTCATTCTAGAACAGTAAATAAGTCATGACACATTAACAAAAATTGAATTTAAGTGAGAAAAAAAAGTAGTTGAACAGCTGAACACAATATGCTAATATCTCTTTAAAAGAACCCCAATGTTTTTACTACGAAGAGTAATCAAAGTATTATCCACACGGTTGTAATTGTATATCAGGAAGCAAATCAATCTTAGTTGTATGAAATTATGTCTTGATTATGAATACACGTGGAAAATATTCATTTTGTCATGGTCAGTTTTATTCCGCCGATACTAATCAAGTAAGCTCTTATCTACTTTCACGTACTCTGAATGCGAGTTTAGTGGAGAATATTATAACCAATAAAATTTATAGTTTAATGTCTATAATGCATTCTATTTCCAACAATTGACAAAAGTGACCACGAGTGAAAACAACAGAAGTCGTTCGATCGAAGTCACTTGATTCTAATGAGATGAATTATACTATACGAATATCGAACTTATCGTTTACAAAGATATCTTCATCTATGGTTTATAATGACATAATTTCTATCTACTGTCTTATAAATAAAAATTCATTCATTGAAACAATCTCTAATTATTGCACTGAGCATTTCGTCTATGAATGATGAGTGCACAAGACTTCTCAATAAACTATATAGTAAAATAAAAACTTGATTATCTCTACTGTGCATGGTTTTTCAGTAATGAACAGGTTTTTTCTGTACATCATTAACACAATATTAATAACTGGACAAAGTAGACTTCAGTTGACCATTATCTAGTGATCCTTTTTGAAGAAAATCTTTGTCACATACTTTTTGTTTTCAATTTTTCATTCACAAATGAAGTTTTTACACAACTCTAATGGTTATACATTTCATCGATCTGGAACCCCGGCGTTCTCCCGAATATTGGTGCGAGTTTTGATTAATCAGGAAGTATGTATTTTCAACAGTTTCTCGTCTTGTATGAATCATTATTGCAGCGTATTTAGATGACTTCAAAATGGAAAGGAAGATGTCTATAAGAGAAATGTTCAGACAAGAATATCTTCAAACGAAGATTCTCCAATTCTATACGCATAATAATTCTTGCACTATCGATTAATATATAAAAAAAGGGAGATATATTCATATAGATTCAATTTCTTCTTTGCAATACATATACAAAAAATCATATCCGTTTTCAAACACCAGCATACTTCTTCTCTTCGTATACTGAGCAATCGTTATACATTACCAAGGGAACTAGGAAGAATAGATAGAATATATCGAGTCAAATCGTAACTATTTTTGTTTATATTAAATCTATTTAGATTTATTCAAGATGAGTAAAGTGGAACAGTCATGTAGGTATTTTAAGTTGGAAAGAGCAATAACCAGCATATGTATAGTTGTTTAATAATTACAGGCAAATAAGTAGTTTTCATGTTTTCATTGGTATCAACACGAGCATCTCATAGTGTAGTGTAGCTAAAGAATAAATTAATACGTAAGTTTTCTCTGTGTCATATGAGCAATAAGATAATGTAGACTTTTAAATTAAAGTATGAACCTATTGAAAGTTGGTGTCCTTTCAACAGTGGTCAAAATACTTTTCAGTTAAGCCGCACCTTCTTACGTTGAACATTCAGGGAAAATATTTCCGAACTTCTTGAGAAATAAAGAAAGAATGAAAACAATTAAAATTATTTAGCGATACACTGCTTTTGTTTTGCATAAAAATTTGGGATTGTTCATACTTCATTAAACTATATCTTCATATGGAAAAAATAATAATAAAGAAAAAAAAAGACTATTCCATTTTTGGAATTACTTTCTTATTGTTACTAAGAATTAAATTTTAATTTCAAATTGAAATACATTCATACTTGAGTTTGCTTTACTTTTTATTCACATCCTTACATGCATGATTTTGTGATATTTTGTTTAAAAAGTTCAACGGCAATCTATGTACTGTTTTTCAACCAGACACAGCAATAAATTCTCACGAATTGAAAAATGAGAAAATTATGATAGCTATAACAAAATAAATGAAAATGCTGCGATGATTAATTAATCTTTTCGAATGAAAGAAAAAATGTTCAATCAGTTGATAGTAGTAGTTTAAAAAGAAGATTTGTTATTCATGAGTAACGAAGAAAGACATGCAAATAAAACTAAATAATAATCGGCTTTTTCTTAATTGAAATATAATTGTTCATGTCAATGATCTTCGATAGATAATAAAGTAATATTGTAAATGAAAGATTTAACAAGAACTTTTCGTCAACAATTAATGGTGGATCGCAGTGTCACAAAGTAAGTCATTGACTTATCAGCATTATACGAGAATAGAATTGTCTTTCACTAAAAATAAAATGCATTCATTCACATAGAAATATAAGTAGTTTCCGATCAGTTACTTCTGATTCTGTTAAAAAATAGCACAACATCTTTATTAGTAAAGAAAAATAAAGTAAAATACTTTTTTGAGAAGCATAAAAATATTTGATGAATAAAGTCATTCTGAATAACAAAAAAATTTAAAGTAATTATCTAAGAGGAGTTAAAGCACAGCTGCAAAACGGGTAAGAAAATATCATTCAAGCAAACGTTCAAAATTAAAACAATGAAAGCATATCACAAACTAGAAGGGTATTTCTCTCTCCATTCCTCACAATGATGATGCTTCTCGAGCTATTACATGATTTCAGTTATATCTAAAACAATGTTAAAACAAGCTTTTTTCACCAGTTATAAAAGAGAAAAAGAAAAAGAGGCATACATCATCGAAGTTGATATTTAGAAGAAGTCATTTGGAGAATAGACGAGACAAAAAGAAGAAGAATATACAATGAATAACTTTTAAAAGCAACAATTCTAATGACTTGTTGCTTTTCTAAAGAAGCAAAAAGAAATCAACTATTCATTAACGTTGATTTCATCTGTAGATTCATAGATCATCAGAGTAGTAGAATTATACGTTTAACCTTTCGATCGATCAATACATATTTAAGATTTGCATAGCATAGTTAACAAATATTCTTCTAGATCAATGACTACCAAAGTTAGTACTCATATCCGATACAAAAATCAATTTATACATTTCATCAAGAATCTGAACCTATACGATGATGATGATACGTTGACTCTGAATGAGCAACTCTTATCTACACGTGTTCTGATTATTTCATTTTCGATTACTCTCTTACTTATACTATTATTCACTGGTATTATTCCTCAAACACGTCTAATCACTGTTTATTCACCATCTGTCAATAATTTCGAAAATCTAATCAATAGGTATCCATCTACAACTACGTGCCGCTGTTCTCAAACATCGATTCTTTATTCACAAATTGTGTCATTGAATGCTCGATTTCATCAAGTTTGCTCAAGTGATTTTGTCAGTGAAAAATGGTTTTCTTCATTATTCAATGTCAATACAAGCAATTACTATCCTCTTGATTTTCGTTTGATGGCTTCTGCACAATTTCAGATTTTATCTATTCTCTGTCGAATATCACGTCAAGCTGTAATCGATGCTCTTAAAGAATTTGCTGCAACGACAATGTTATCACCAAGTGCATTATCACGCGATGTAGTCAACATATATGTAGGCACGTCTATAGAACAATTCCAGAAAACAACACTTGACAGTTACCGTTCACACATTCATTTTATATTATCTATTCTTGCAGAACAACGTTTTATATCTGCATTAAGAACAAATTTCTATACGAGAAGTGTTCTTGGTAGCAATAATTTTGTAACTTTTCCTGCCATTTATCCTCAACAAATCGATCCAACTCAATCGTCATCGATACAAAATGAAACATGTCAATGTGATCGTACAAATAATTGTATTTATCCTGCTGGCATTTATAACCAATCGCGATCTATCATTCCGAATGAAGTCTTTTCACTTGATGCATCACCTCTATTCATGATACCAGGATTTCAAGTTGGATGTGTACCACAAAATGCATTGTTTCAATCAACATTGGAATGCTTTTACAATCAAACATGTTTAGATATTGTGATTTCGTTGACTGGTGCTCTTCGCACTATCTCACCTCTAAATATATCAAACTCTAATTCACGATTTAGTCCAACAACAACAATTGCTATTCTTTTTGATAATCTAATGATTGAGTCTTGGGAGAACTCTATTGATTTTGCTACTTATTTTCAAACTTGTGCACCTAAAATCTGTTCATATTCATATGTACAACGGTTGTTTCTCATTTACATGATTACAACCATAGTTAGTGTCTTTGGTGGAATTCGCGTGACATTACATATAGCATCTCCATTGTTCGTCAAATTCATTTTATATTTATATCGCCGATGGGTTTCAATGCAAGAAACAGAAGAAAGATATGAACCAAAAAGAAGTAAAGTCACTCTTTACATTAACATATATTTTTTTCTTCTTCTTGTACTTTTTGTTTTCATAGATTTACAAGATCGTATATGGAATTTTCTTAAACGAATTCGTCACAAAACTATCACATTGAATTTGTTCAAGAAAACTTTAACCAATGTTCAACATGGTATTTATTCTACACGTGTCTATATCATATTGCTGATGTTGGGTATTTATATTTTGATCATTTACTCTACATCAATAGTTAGTTCACAACAAATCATTGTCAGAAATCCAAGTATCGATCAATTTCAACATCTTCATGACATGTATTCATCAATTCTATCATGTCCATGTCGTAATTCATCAATACCACGCTCGAAATTCATATCCATTGAAGTAGAAATTCATCCATTTTGTACAAGTAATTTTGTTCGTGATGATCGTTGGTTACAATATTGGACAATGAAATTTCTCAATGGTAGCATCGATCCTACTCCATCATTTTATTCCAATGATTTTCGTAAGGATGGATGGAAGTTTTTTAATTTTGTTAAAATATTATGCGACACAGTCAATATAAGTCTCGCTAACACAGTACATTCGTTTCAAGCAAAACATTTTTTCTCTCGTCAACTTATCACTCCACTACAATTAAGTGAAACAATTCAAGATTGGAACACTTCTTTTCAATCTCAGGTAGAATACGATGAAGAAAGAGACCTTAAAAAAACCTTTTCTTATACTTTTAAACATCTAAATTGGAATTATTTTTGTCAAACTGTACGAAACTCTTTCCTATCTTACGAAGAATATCTATGATAATATTGATCTTCTACAGATAAAAGGAAAAACATAAATAGATTAATCTGAAAAAGCAAAACAACTTTATTCTAGTGTCACTGAATACAAAATATATCATTATATTTTTTTTTATCTAGATTTACTCTATATATGTATCTAAATTTTTTTCAATGGTAGCAAGTATTCGACGGAGTGGATTAATTCCACTCGATTTTGTTGAACCTTCTGTGGTCTCCACCCAGATCAATAGCACATGGACTTTAGAGTATGATGCGTTAATTAACGGCGATTCCAATGATCAGGTGCCATGCGATTGTATACAAGACTATTCTTGTCGAAGACAATTGTACATCTATAGCGATACAGAGATTTGTCTTCAAATGAATCTGCGACCTTCAATTGTTTCTGGCCTACAGCTTGGCTGTTATCTTCTAGATTTTATTTCCTCTACACTAGAATGTTTTTACGATGAACCTTGTGTTCAGATGCTAATTGACCAGCGTCTTTGTGGTAATAGAAATATCTATTTACCAATAGATTTAAGTAATATAACAGCGCTTGATCCAAACACTTTAATCAATTTTCACCCTCAAGATCAATTAGGAACGTTAATGCTTAGTTCTCTTGTTAATCAATTGATTTATACAGCAAATTATACATTGTACTATGCTGAATGTCAGCCAGAGATATGTACTTATACGATAGATCAGGAATTACATGCTATTGCTCGTATTAACTTAGTTATTGGTCTGATTGGTGGACTAACTATTCTACTTCGTATCTTAGTTCCATCATTCATCAAAATGATCCATTTGTTTTATCGTTTCTGCTATCAGCAAACACGAGGTGAGAGATTTTTTTCATCCATTATTTAATTATGTTGAATTATTTCAGATGTTCCTTTACATTGGAGAATGATTTTTATCTATAGTCGAGATAAACTTTATCTCCTGAATGTGTACCGAGAAAAAACACAAGCGGCATATCAACAACATTTAGCAACAAGAATCTATATTGTTCTACTTGTTCTATCTTTCATAATTGTCTCAGTTTTCGTGCGATTTCAACATCGAACAATACTCATAAACGTAGATTCACCAAACGAAACTTACTTTTCATATCTTCACAGTCAATATTCTGATAGTTTATCTTGTCCTTGTACAAATATAGCTATTTCTTATGTAAATGTCTCAACGTACTCATTCACATTCCATGAAAGTTGCGACCAGGCGACTATCCAACAAGATTTCCTGGCGTCACCGTTACCAACAGACATACCCTGGAAAATACCTAGTTGGAATCTCATCAAATCACAATTTTTTATTCTATATATCCGATGTTCTGTCAAAAGGGTTAGTTTAGACTTCTTAAGAAACACCTTTACTGACGCAAGTTTGATATCAGTCGAAGCAATGACCTTACAAACATTTCATTTACAGTTTAATGCTTTTACAACGGGAATATTTAATAATTCGTTGGTCTCAACATTTGATACTTATAAATTCGTTTCTGATATGCTTCAAGCAAATCAATTTCATACTCGATATATGACAAGCTGGAAAATAGAATTTTCGAGCTTAGATGAAAAATATATTCTTCGTAACAGTCCAATTTCGTTGAGCAATGCTACTTACTTTTGTCCAAGTGGGAAATCCAACTGTACAAAGGTACCTATATATTATGATTCGATCGGTCATCCACATGTACTTCCAGGTAAACTCTTTAATCAAGCTTTCTCATATGCTTTCATAATTGTACTTTGATTTATTAAGATTTTTAAAAAGGTCTATGATTAAAAGATGATAGTTGAAGAACTAATTGCATATTATTGATATTTCATTTATTTAGGCATTGTCATTGGATGCTCACTCATGGATGGTCTTTCACAGTCGACATTTGAATGTTTCTATGATGACGATTGCGTCAATCAACTAAATGAACTGCTTGGCACTTCATTTACTACATTTAATCTTAATGCAACACAGTTTCCACCAACAACTCCAATCGGATCGATTCTAGATGAGGGTTCCATAGCAGCCGTGGATTTGTCAGCGAATTATTCTGTATATTTTCAAAAATGTGCTCCATCAAAATGTCAATATCATTATACTGAACAAAATGGTTTTGTTTACATATTCACAACACTGCTTGGATTGTATGGTGGATTAACTGCAGGTCTACATTTTTTTATATGGAATTTATTGTGTCTTTACCGAGTCATGGTCAAGCGTTGTTTATGTTTGTTGCAACGCGTACATCCGTCGTCTTCAACTTGAATGAACCATCTATGATATGAACAACGCTTCTTATTAAACTCATTAAAAATAATGTCAATTTTCAATGTTGTATGTTTTCTCTTGCTTTTGTCAAGCATAAAATTAAGCAATCAAGGTTACTATCGTTGCTTTGCTTTACTTTGCTTTTATTCAATTTGTTTTTCATGGAAAAATTAATTGTCTTCATTCAATAAGAAAACTTATTTGTATTTTAGCTTGCTATTGTACTCAATATCCATCGACATTACTTTGAATAAGATATCAGTAGTATTCACCAAACCGAGATAATCATTAGATGATTATACGAACATAATAATTTGCAATAGAATATATTATTTATTGAATAATCAAAGATGATGAACAAGTATAGTATTTTTATTTATATACTCTAGCTCATCATATGATATTCAGCTTAACGGGCCAATATTATATACAAACTTATCAGTCATCGCATATATTGTTGATTAATTTAACCTCTTATATATCGATGTGAAATGATGCATATAAGAATATTGTGATTGCAAAGTTTTATCTGAAATATCCAAATAAATAACAAGATTTGTTAATAGAACTATCGATTCCTTTTTAATTCATCGGTACATTGTTGTTTCGTTATTTTATTGCCGCCATTTTCCTATAACTTGGTTTCTATCGGTCATTGCTCAACCAATGGTATTTCGAGGCAAGTAGAGTACAGATTCGAGTTCTCCGCTCCAGAAAACCTCGAACTATCATTTCTGTAAACGGAAGATAGAGCTCTAATTGTGGATCAGTTAGAGCATGGATGAAAACATCCATTTTCCGTTTAATTATCTTTGCACTAGGTGAGCTAACCTTCTTGTTTCTTTATGTTTTATTTGACTATGAGAGGAAAAGTTTCTTACGAAAGCGGAGATAGGTCGATCTTCACATAGGAAAGCATAGGGAATAATGACTATTTTTCCAATAACTCGGCAATGATTCGGCCAATCATTCTCATCTTCGAGCTTGACCGAGATATTGTTGAGACTAAACTGTATAGAAAATTTTATCGCGATCAGACTCTTTTTTCAAAAGTTATCGTGTAAACGGTCGGCCGGCCGGCCAGACACACTGACAGATTCTAGAATGTACTCACTTTTTAAGTACACAAAAAATGTTCTTTTATAAAATTTAATCATTGATTATTTTTGATTGATATTGCCATGCTTCTTCGAGAATATTAAAGAAAAACTTACTTGCACTATCAAATATTTTTAATTGTTTTAAATTTTCATCACATAAAATTTCACCAATTATTGTATATATACACACCTAAACGCATTTTATCACAAAGTAAGATTTTAACAATAGTTAATAATGTATTTGTTAGTAAAATTTTTTTGAACATAAAAGTCAAAGAAAATCTCTATTTTGTGTTATAATTAATAAACGAAATAAAATTATATCTAAAAGAATTATTTGACCATTTGATCGTTATATCTTAATTGATTGATAAATTGTTAGAGAAGTAATACATCTTAATAATTCTATACTCCAGGATTCTATAGTATAAATATGAAGAATTATTTGTACATAATCAACACCAAAATGGTGGATTGATTCTTCAGAAGGATAAGAAAAATCTGGACCTTTTACAAATAAATATACATCTAAAGAAATGGACATGTTTTAATATAAAATAATTGTTTAGCAGTAAATATCAATGGTGATTGACGAAGTTGATTTAAATAGAATTTATATTGATCAGTCATAACATAATTACGTGCTATATAATGATTGATATGAATGATAATAGTGGATATTTCAAATTCAGGATGGACATTTGAGAAACTAGAGAGATTATCATACCATTGACTAATTATGCTAATAAATGAATTATTTTCATTATTTATTTTTTCAAATCTTTCGAATATAGTATTAATACATTTAATTGTTTCAGGAAAAAGTAATGAACCTTTCATATTAATTTCAATATCTTCATAATTAAAAACTAAATTTTTATTAAATAATGCAAATATACGAAATAATTCTACATAATTTGAGTTTTTGATCCATTGATCAGAATTTTGACTAATTAATTGCCATGCCCAATGTTTAAGGATAAGTATTGATTGATAGAATTGTGAAATAAATGATGGTAATAATTCAGAATTTTGTTTTTCTAATATATAGCTTATTTCACTAAGATTATCATTGTATGATGAAGATATTTGAAGTGTAGGAATAAGTTGTTCAAAAATTTTTCATTGTTAATGTTTATAATATTTTTTTTTCTATTGCATATATCTAGTGTTTATTATAATCATTAATTAGACATGCATAAATATTGGTTTTTTATATTTATTTTGCTTATTTTTGTTATTGTATTTATTGTTATTAAGCAAAGGCTTATAATCACACGGCAGGTAAGTAAAACAAAGTGACACACACTATTTATGAGCTACTTCAAACTTAGTAATAATAAACAATTCAATTGCTTTGATGTTATAGCAAGCTTTTTATAGGATTGATCTATTAAATTATAGAAACATTTTGTATTGATAGAAATAATAATAATGACTATTATAAATAAATTTAATAGTTTTTGTGTCTAGGAAAACAACGAATTTTTCCTTAGACTATTATTCATTTTTTTGTTTTTGAAAATTAGGACAATTAGAAAGAATGTTTTTATTGTTTCATATATTCTTTCCAATTTCAAAGAAGAATGCATTCATCAGTTAATGAAATGAAATTTTGTGTATAAAAATTAATATAAAAACTGCATAGTTCGACATGAAAATTTAGAAATTCTATTTTGTTTCTGTTCCTATTCGTGCTTATCAGTTACAAGGAAACTATTGACTCGATCAGTCTTTTGTTTTTCTTATTTCATCAAAGATCTAAGCCACAACAGTTTCACTCATATATTAAAGCGAATCTTCTTTAGATAAAGACAAACTTTCTCAGATTTTACTATTTTGTGTATGAATTCATTCAGATAGATTAGATTTTAATCATAAAAATAAAAATAAAAACTAGACAATACATCTATAAAAAATTACATCCAATCAATGAATCTAGTACATTGAATTTGATTCCTCAATTTAGAATATTTTTAAAAGGTTTCGATAGTGACAAAAGTTTTTTCTAAAGTAAGATGTGGGAAGTTATTTCTTTGTCCAAATGGAATAGTTATCTTACTTATTTTGAATTTAACCGAAGTTTGTATTCAATTCCATAAGTTATATTTCTATAGTTCGACTGTATCTATATTTAGTTAGATTATTATGCATTTGACTAAATTTAATTCCAATAAAATAATCAGTTATGACAACTTCTTCATAGATTTATTTTCCATTATTGATGTTCTGTTGTTGACAGGTCTTGATGATTTTATTCTAGATTCCATCATATGCCACATGTAATTTTTCGTATCCGTTGATGATCACATTCTTTTAATAAATAAAAAAAAAATACTATTGCCTAGGTCAAAAAATCTGATATCACCTTGTAAAATTATACGAATACAAGATTTTTCAATATCATTTTATAACCATTATTCCAAGACTTTGAATAATTCTTATCATAGAACTCAAACAAAAGTCTAATAAGAATCATAATATATGAAACGTACAAGAACCGCTATTACGACATCAGTCTGATAAAATCAGATATTATTAATCACCAACGAAACACATAAGATAAGATAAATACGAATCTTACATCATATGGCAGGATCAGATATGAAAGTATGTCTGAAAATGCTACCTATCAATTTAACTCATTTTATTCCAAAATCTCAAACTTTTATACTACAACCCATTATTTGCATTGTAATAACAAATATATAAATGCATAAAGAAAAGCAAGATTTACAGAAGACTTGGGCATCGATATAGATTCAGATATTCAACACTATATACCGACATACATAGCAGCAAGTGGATCTTTTCCTCATTTTCTTATCTTGTTATCAGAAGTTACAGCGGAAGATCACAAAAAAGAAGGATTTCGAAAAGGAATTTTTTTGAAAAACAAAAGAAGGAAATCTAGAAAAAAAAGGAGGAGAAGAAAGATTTTTCAGAAGTCCTATGTTGCAACTCTAAAATTATATTAAAAGATTGCCGCTTAACGATAAAAATGAAGCGAAGTAAAATCGAATTTCAAACATCAATAATTGTCTCCTTGTTGTGTGATATGTTTGTGTGGTTATCTTGCGTGTGGGTGTGGATGTGTCTTCTTTCATTTAACATCCACGCCTGCATCTCATACAGAAGCTCTGGAAAATTTTTCTGATTCTACTCCTCAGCTTCAATCATGCTAGAAGTTTACATTAAACATTCTAGTCCGTTTATCGACTCGCGAAAACAATTGTTAAAAATTTGAAAAATGTCCGTGAAACTCCAACTCGATCATAAACTGAAAAAGCATAAAGAAAGTTACATTTCAAACGGAGGAGTCTTAGATCATATCTGGCATTGATTGATCAATTTTAGTTGCATGGAAGACTGACAATTAATTGGGAAGTGAATTGAAAAACATTGACACATAACACTATTTTCGTTCATAAGCACCATCTTACTTCTTAACAAATGTTGATTGTCTTTCTCTCTTTGTTTACCAATGACAAAAACAGTAAAAACTGTGCTTTTGTTATGTTCCACTGAGTAAAATTCTAGGCTGAACATCAATATCAGGAAATGACTAATCACATAACTATTTGTAAGAGTTTGACACAATCGTAGACAGATTTTTATTGGATCTTTGATGAATTAAACATTTTCTGGAGCTTCGAGAGCTTTTTATCTAACGTATGCATTACTCATCTGTGTTTCGGAATCTTTCAAAACATATTTGTGCGAAAAGAAAAGAAGGATGATCTGAAAAAAAGTAGGAAACAAGGACCGCTGGGGGATCTGTGTATACGTATTCTTCAACAAGCAAATCTTGTAATTATCTCTATTGACATAAAATTGTAATATTTCTATTTTTCTGTAAATTTCCATATTTGATCTTATACTAAATTATAATTTAGTCCCGTTCTATACTATTCTATATGTTATATTTTGTTTGATTATAAGAATGCCGCCCGTGTGCCTTTACTTAATTATGATAATAAATTTATCAAAACTTCTTAAAATGACTGTAAGCTAAAAAACTATTTGTTTTTTTCGTTTCTTTGTTTAATTAAGCCTCTGTAAAAACTTTAGTAACTCAAGAAAATAAAGTACACAATGTGTTTAAAATTTAGGATCAAGTCAATAATCTCATAAGAATATTCCTATGACCATTTTTGTTCGAACACTTTTTGTTTCTAATGATTGATTAGTTATCTTAATTATTTTGTAAGATTTTTGTGCCTTATTTGAAATAAAATATTATTGATAGACTACATATTGATCCTGTTTCAAAGAGAAAACTTATATGATGACTTCTTATTGAAAACTAGGAATCTTAGACGTGGGTGTAGGTGACTGAAGGGTTATCATCTCCAGAGCAACCAGCATCGACACGATAAACAGCTAGCGATGTCTATTTGGAAGAAGCTACTGAAATGGCAGAAAAGAATTCAAATACTCCAGCATATTGTAAGCTCATGAGTAAAAATATTAAGCAATCGAATAATAAAAGTCAAGTTCTTGAACTGAAAACGAAACTTTAAGTTCTACTTCAAGATTTGTCCCTAACGGATGACTTTCTTGTTTCAAAATTCTCAAAGATCCCATGTGTATATCACAAAATGTTCGACCTAAGGAAAGATTATTTTCAAGACAAAACTGATTTCTGAAGAGATTATTATTTAGGATCGATTTGTGAATAAACCGATCCTATTCTTTATTATTTTCACTGTGAAGGATGGGGTGTGGGTTCTTTTGTAGAAAGAAAAACTAGAAATTTAATAAAACATGTGGTTCAAATATAATATTCGATTTGTTTATCGCAGACGTTCTGTGTTCAATTAAATTTTTTATTAATTTGTATGTCACTATCTTTTTATTATTGAAGTTTTTCAACAGGACACGATCAATGAAAGAAAGTCAAACAAATCATATCAAGTGTTCACAAGCTCAAAGGAAAATAAAACAAACTGAAAAAAATTTTCTTTTTAGATGACCTTCATTATGGAAATAAGAAATAATCATATTAAAATAAAAATTTATTTCTAGTTAAAAATTGAATATAAACAAAAGCCTCATTGGATCTTTCTGCAATGAAATGGTCTTTTTATTTTTAAATTCTTAATTGTAGAAATAAACAAAATTAATAAAAATGTGTGCCTATAAAGTTCATGAATATTCGAAAATTTGATTCGTCATCAATTGATGATATTGTCGATGTAAGAATTGATATACTATTCACTGGGAAAGTGGTTTAATTGCTAGCAATAAATGTTTTATATCAATAAAATTACCAAAATAGAGTTCTTTCATAATTATCTTGTATGTGACATTTTTAGTCTAATCAATGGTGAACTTCTATTCAAATTCCAATAAAGTCTCTATATATCAGAATCACTTTACAAATGATTATCAAATATAAAATAAAAACAATCTATATCTATGGCTACGGAACACAATTTGAGAAAGACTTTTCATAAAATCAATTAAAAATTATACTGATTAAATTATTTATGTGGCATATTCACCTTATGGATAACTTTAGTGATATGTATATAGGATGTTTAATAGTTCTTCGATTTTATTAATAGAAGTTCGTGTACAAAAAAACGCTGCTTTCTGCAAACTTCTACTCAGATAAATGACGATCATATTATTTATATCATGTTTCTTGGTCTTTCTTGTTTAGTGACAGAAGAAACAATAAAGATAATCAATCAAGATATCTAATGAAATAAAACTTAATTTACTTTATGAAATTCTATTATGTTTGAATTTAATTCAGTGACTGCTTCATGTATTATCTTTGAATAGTACGTTTGTTTCAAATTTCTTTTGTGTATATTAGATACCATACAATACTGATCATGTTATTGATAGTTCAATAATGATTCTGCATAAAATACAAGATGATGTCTATTATTGTGAATTTTTCACAACCGAAATAGATCTATCAAACATGTTTCATATTGCTTCAACATATGAGACACATAATGGATTCGTTAT